GACCCCAATCAAAAAAAAAAAAAAAAAAAAAAAAAAAAAAAAAAAAAAAAAAAAACCCTCCTTATTGCAAGTACTATAAGAAGGAAGGGAATAACTAATGAAAAGTAACTTAAACAGGTACCTGAAGCATGATGATATCTTTATCATACATTTCCTCCCGGCATTTAACATCTTGGTAATAAAATACCTGTAAAATAAACAGTATACAGATGGTAGAGAATTTTTTTTATTTTGGCATGCATGTGTATGTGGTGTGTTTACATATATAGGGTGTGTGTGTGTGTACATGCATGTGGAGACAAAAGGTTAACATCAACTGTCTTCCACCTTATATATTGAGGTAGTATCTCTAACTTGAACCCCAAATTCCCAGATTTGGCTAGTCTAGCTAGCTAGCTTCACACAGGATCCCTTGACTCTGGCTTCCTAAGCTAGGTTAGGTGAGCCTCTATGCACACCTGAATTTTTATGGGTGCTAGAAATCTAAACTCTGATCCTCATGTTTCATCCACTGAGCTATCTTCCAGTTCTCAAGTAAAATCCTTAATGATGGGGTCAGCAAGATGGCTCAGAAGGTAAAGGTGCTTGCCACCAAGCCCATGCCTTGAATTCAATCCCTGAGACCCACATGGTGGAAGGAGAGAGCCAGTTTCCTCAAGTTGTCTTCTGACCTCCACATGAGTGCTGTGGCACAAACACACACAAACACACAAACACACACACACACACAAATGTAATTTAAGAAAATCAAAATTCGTAACAAAACTTATTCTTTTTTGTTTTGTTTTTTGAGACAGGGTCTCACTATATAGCCCTGGCTTGCCTGGAACTCATTACATAAACCAAACTGGCCTCAAACTCACGGCCTCCCAAGTGTTGGGATTAAAGGCATGTGCCACCATGCCCAGCCTAACAAAACTTATTCTTAAGACTTTCCAGCAGCTAGAAACCTCTGGAACTGCTTAGTGATTTAAAAAAAAAAAAAAAGTTGTAAATCTAGGACTTTATTTTAAGAGTTTGTGAGATAAAGTAAGAAAACACAGCATGAACCGGGCATGGTGGCACACGCCTTTAATTCCAGCACTTGGGAGGCAGAGGCAGGCGGATCTTTGTGAGTTTGAGGCCAGCCTGATCTACATAGTGAGTTCCAGGCCGGCTGGGGCTATAGGGAGACCCTGTCTCAAAAAGACAAAAAAAAAAAAAAAGCATGAAAACATTTCAGAAATAAAAATGTGCTATATTAATTATCATGATCAACATATATAACTTTTTTTTCCTGTTTAAAATACCTACTTCAATGAAGGTCAATCAATTTTATTCAAATTTCTACACAAATCTGAGTGTGGCGGTTCACACCTATAATCCCAGTACCTGAAAGGCTGAGGCAGCAAGATCGTCTCATGTTTGAGGACACCCTGGGCTACAGAGACCCTGCCTCAAAATAATGACAAGAACAAAAACAAAGGGACTGGAGACATGACTGGAGATGTAGTGATAGAATGTCTGCCTATGACATTCGAGGCCCTGTGTTTAATGCCCATCACTGGAAAAATAACACTAACATCATTTTTCTTCCAAGTGCTATCTTTACAACTCTGTTCATTCATCTTTTAGGGAAAGCACTTCTCCCTATCTGCCCTCAAACAGAAAGAAAAATATTAACATAGCCTTTATTTGTACTTTTTTAAAAAAGTGATGCTGGGAACTGAACCAGGGCTACACATGCAGGCAAAGACTCTACCACTGAGTTTTACTCTTAGCCCATAAGTTACCCTTTGATTAAGGCAGATAGTGGTGCTTATCTAGCATATTCAATTACAATCCCCACAGAAAAGTAACAGAACAAAACAAAAACAAAAAACAGTGGGAAGACTAAATGTCTCAAAGTGAGGTGATCATTAGAAAAAGGCTATGTTAGTGGGAAGACTTCTATGCTACTACTACTGTTCACCTATCCACTCAGATACCCTAGTTTCTTATAATTCAGGCAGGATAAATAGTAAATAAGAAAAAGTAAAAACAACATATGATCTCTAGAATTTTCACATCTAAGAGATTACACAGACACTAAAGCAAATATTCAGCAAATTCTACAGACATAGAGTTAAAAAAAAACATAAAAAAACAAAATGAGCTCACCCATAAATGTGAACAATAGACCTTGCCATACCTGGCTAATGAGAGACAGCCCATTTCTTCTCCACATCTCAGCAACAACCTGGGCAACCAACACCAGACAACGCAAGGGGTATTCCACCAGTACCTCTACTTGGAAGTCCTCCTGAAATAGTAGGGTCGATTGCATTATTTCTCACAGAGCTTGGATATACCTCAGTTATCAACTACATATTCCTCAACTTTCCCATCAATAAATGAAAGAGCTTGAACCACATGACTTCCCAGCCTTTGCTACTGATTTCAATGTGATACACACAGTCGTGAAGTGCCTAAGTGGAACTATCCAGGTGGAGCTCAAAGTACTATTTTTTTTCCTATCTACCAATAGAGAGGTAGCCAGAAATACAGGATATAAACAAATCAATCCTTTAGCAGTCACTTACAAGAGGCACAAAATCATGCAGTCTTGAAACAGCACCCAGTCTGCTTAAACGTACATGAAGACCTAAAAGTTATTTTAAAAAGAAGAAAAAAGAAAACAATTAAATCCTACTAGTTAATTTATTAGTTAACTCATCACATTTGGAAAATTGGGTGATTTAAACGTATTTTTACCAGGGTTGAGGGTGTATCTCAGTCACAGAACACCCACATGCACATATTCTTACTAAGCTTATAAATGATACTCTAAAATGAAAATCTTTGACTTCTAATTTTGAAACATAGTATCATCAAAAAATTGGCTTTCCTAGCTTGCTGATGGACCAATGGTAACTGTGCCTATAAGAAGACTGTTACACCAAAGTGATTCTTCCCCCTCCTGGCATAAAATAAATAAGAGTTTACCTTAAAAAAATGTTTTTATATGCAAGGTGAACCTATATATCATATAAAACTAAAATCCTACCTGTCCAGATGTTTACTCTACTCAAATATCAAAAGAGGGCTAGATGAAATGGTTCAGTGGGTAAAGGTACTTGTCACCAAGCCTGGTGACTTGAGTTCATCCCTGGAATGCATGTACATGGTGGAAGGAGAGAACTGATTACCACAAATTGTCCTCTGACCTTCACAGACAAGCCATGGCACACATCCGTCCTTCCCCTAATATAACTGACTAAATAAATAAAAGTAATTTAAAAAATAAAAGTATCAAAAGAATTAAAAACCAATCTAAGTGTTTTAAAAATAAAAGCAGATTCAATATAAATATCAATATTTATAAATAATCAAAATTTGAGTGACCAACTTAAGTTGGTCCTTAAGTGTATACTAAAAAGATGTATTAGATGGCCCAGATAACAAATGGTTGAGACAAGGAAGCATCCTTGGACAAACACTGTGGTGACAGTTTCTAGAAGGGCAGAAATGACAGTCCTTAACTTGAGCATCTAATCTGAGGATGTGGAGGTCAGAACAAAAATAGAAAAGTATTGTTTTATTCTGAGTGCCTATAAAAAAACAATTACCAGAAATACCACAAAAAGCAAAGAACAGGTGCTCACCAGCAAGAGTCCTAGAGAGTGGTAGATGTATGCTGACGAGATCCTCAGATACTCTGTAGGACTTAGTTTCCAAAGTATGACCACACAACTGTATTACTGTCTTGTTACTACATATAAAACTTGTACTGCACTTCATCACGGCTTTGTGACATTCTTTATAAGCCACCAGTAAGAGATCTTCCTAAAGGGGAAAAAAAAACATACAAATACATTGACAAGTTAGCATCTTTGTCACACATTACTCAATAAATATTTATTAAATATAAGTACAACACTGTTCTATGTATAACCAGAGCTACCTCTGTAAGGATGCACAAACCAGAAGGAAATATATAATATAAACACTTAAACTAAAAAATTACAAGCACCATTTAAATGGTATAAACTAATGGTACTATGAAAGCAAAGAAAATAATTATACCTGGGAAGACATACTTATGACAGCAGTGTTTTAGTAGGCCTTAAAAGAAAATACAAGACCTCCCTCTGCTTCCCTGGGCCTGCAGGGACCGCAGGCCTCTCTCCAACACACAGGCCTCTCTCCAACACACAGGCCTCTCTCTCAGGGGTAAGTAGATCGTGTCCTCCATGCTTTGATTCCCCCAGCCTCACTCATCCTCCCATCTCCCCCTGTGGCCTCTCCTCCTAGCCTGGGTCCTGTCCCATTCCTTGTCTTGGCGCCCCAGACACCTGGGGAACCACCACTACTTCCTGTGCATCCAGAGCAACTCAGTTCCTTTTCAGGTCCCTGGGGGCACTTGGGGCCTAGCTCCGCCCTCACCTCCCTCTGCTTTCTTGGGTCTGCACAACCCACCACCCCCTTTCCTGGATGCCAGGGCTGACCTTTCCTCTTCCTAGTCCTTTGCATCCAGACCAACCCAGATCCTCAGTGCAGTCCCCAGGGGCCGTTGGGGCTGCATCCCGCCCCCATCTTCCTTTGCATCTCTGGGTGGCACAGCTACCAGCTGCCCTAGACCAGCATCTTTCTTGGGCCCGGTTCCCAGGCCAGTCCAACCCCCAAATTCCTGAGGCCAAAATCTATCCTGGAGGGATCCAGACCTTAGGAAAAAGCCTGAGGGCATCTGATACTCATCTGACTTGGGCCTCTGTGGGAACTCCTGAAGACAAAAGCAATCTGGCCACTCCAATATAAAATCAAAAGAGAGAACTGGAAGTTTAGAGGACTAGCCTTTTATGTCCAAAAAGTAAACCACAGAGACACATAAATTTCACAAAAAGCAGACCTAAACTTGAAGGCTTGAGTCTCACACAAGAATCAGAAACTACAAAAGAAATCCACATGTCAAAATCACAGAAAAAAATAATAACATGAAAAACCAAAATAACATATCCCCACCAAATACCAGTAATCCTCTAGAGGAGCACAATG